CAGCTCCCGACACAGCCCTGACACTTCCGCTTCTGACAGACAGCAGTGGCAGCCAATCAGGTGGGTGGGCTGGATAAATGACCCCGGCGGGCTGTATCCGGCCCGCAGGCCGTACTTTGAGAACCCCTGGATTAAACCATGGCTAAGACAGTTTTTTTGCTTCTCTATATGTAAGTAAGGGGATAAGGATGTCTTGCTGGAATTTATCCTTTATAAAGACCTGGTACTAGGGCTCAGTTTAGCAAACTAAATCATGATTTCTTTGCCTTTGTGAGATGTTAACTAGGACTAACGGAACAATTCATAACTGGGGCACATACAGTTTGTACAATATATATAGCTCAATTCAGGTGTTTTCCCACACAACTACAACTGCACAGAGGGAAACAGCTGGACCACATCTGCTAGCATTTCCCGGGCTTTCCCCAATCACTTCCTCTGTGAGAGAGGTCTAAGTTCACAATATATCAAATCAACAACATACATGCACATACACATATCCTATGTACATACTTCACAATCTTCTCAATCCTGCTTACACAGCCAGATTTTCACAAGATGGATAACTTCTTCGAGGGAAAGTAAAGAGTTAATATTTTCAGGAAGATAACATCTTAAAGGGGAGTCTGTTGTAGATACTCTAGTTTTCCTGAGATTGAGATTCCAAATATGCATGCAGAAACCTCCACTTCGGGAACTTTTTCCATGTAACATTGGATTGTTGTGGGTAAAGTTGATGAACATAGATTTTCTAGTACTACTGTCCCTTCACCGAATTATAGTCATATTTCAACAATACTTAAATTGGGTTTCTCTGTATTTGATTTTAGATACCAAAGTAATTTAAATGAAATTAATCTATGCTCCACTTTGTCTTCTGTTTCATTTTAATTAATGCAGTAGCAATCAACATTTAGTTCACATATCCTTACAGCTGTTTGATATGAAGCTAGGACATAAAATAGGTAGCAGAAGAGAAAAACAAAAGAGAAGATAGGGAATACAATATGCCTTGGTCACTATAACTAGCAACCCTGGTGGCCAGTACATCTTGCAAACCCATCCATCAACTTTGTGACCCACAAAGAAATTGGGCGCAGAAACCATGGTTCACTGATGTTGAAATCTGACATTGCTGAATTTATACCTGCTGGATTAGGCTAATAAGTTAGTGGTTCAACAAGTAGGAGGAACCCAGCTATTGTTTTAGCTTCTTGTGAACCAGGCCATCACACTGTTCAGGCATAAGAATCATTTATGAACATGAAAATTGTGTTTTATTACTTAGTTCTTTAGGGCTCATGGTCTTTATGATTCCAGTTGAAGAGGGTTAGATGAAGAAAGTCTGTCAATGCTATTGTGGGACCTATTCTGAACTCTTTTGTCTTTTGTAATTCTGTTTCTCCCTATTTTCTTCTCAAACTGTACTATCATTCTAACACTTCATGTTTATTGTCTCTCATTCCTTCCAACTTAACTTAGTTGCTGTTTTATTTTACTTCTGCCTACATACGTTCTCTAGCTCCCCACCTCCTCAAATGTGGGATTCTTTTTTTATGAGTCTTTCTTTCTTTTCTCTTATGCTCTTATCTTTCTTCCTATCTTCTGCTATTATTTCAACCATTCATCACATAGTTTCTCTCTCTTCCTCATTCTGCCATAGAATAAACATTCTGATGTAAGATGACATTCCATTGCATCTCAGGTACCAAATATTTGCTTTTGATAATTGTTGCTGCACTCCTCTGGTGGCCTCTACTATTATCTGACCTCTTAATGTTCTTTGTGGATAATCCACCATGGTATCATACCACTATCATACTTTTGTCTAATTCTACCCTACCATTTGTCTCCTAATCTATCCTGATCTACAAGATATTCTTATATGATGCTGCAAACACTCCTGGGCCTGTCTCCATATTCTTCTACTTCTTTTGGTGCTATGTCACTATTAATGGATTTCAGTAACATCTAAGACTGCCTGCTCACTTGCCTGACAACTTAGATCAGGAACTGTTTTTCTATCCATTCTGGGCACAGTAAAACAAAAGGTCACTGATTCTAGTCACTTCAACAAGAAAACTGAAATAAACACTGTGCCCATTCACTGCTACTGGATAATGAATGTGTCTCCCCCGTTAGTATTGCCTACTTAAAGACACACTGACCATTAAGATTTCATGCTGACCCTGACCATGTCATACTGGATTCATGAAGTGCCAATTATGTCCAAGAGAAAAAATCTGTTTCAACAGAGATTTATTCCGTTCTATTTTTCCATCAGTTCAAGTACATGTTTCAGCTGTACTCAAGCAGGCACTTTAGAATGCATAAATATTGCCCTCTGGTTCCTGCCAGTTAGCAGTGACAGTATTGTTCTACTTCTTGTCTGTCATTTTTTAAATGAATAAATACTTTTGAAGTGATAACAGCCATAACTGAGGACTATGAAAACCTTGGTGAACCATCTTAAGGATTCGAGTTATCAGAGAAAAATAGAGAATGAAAGCTAAAACTATCTCCTCACACAGCTTCAGGGTGATAGTTATTCTCATATCACAATGTTTTTCCATCTTCTTTCATGATTAGTCCAGTTAGTTTAATGTAAATTTTACCTAAGGTACAGGGAAACATTATTAAAGATTTAAAAAAATTAAAAGGAAAAAGATAAAGAACATTTGACCTGAAGTCCTAACCTGGTCTACCAAGCTGGCCTATCTGGCTTCTGCATTCTAAAGTGATCCCCTTACTAACTCTCAAATGCCCCTCCTCATGATGTCCCTCATTTTGATGGCTGTACACTCTCTGTAATCCAGGAAAGTAGAGAGTGGATCAGTTGCTCCAGGAGATTTCCCATATTTTCCCTGATCAGGAAAGGAATTGAGAAGCTGCTGGAAATTTAGCTGCCATGGGTTTTCACCCATCAGGAAAAGCACATAGCAGCCATATTAGTCCTTGAGGAAATGCAAAGGAGTGATAGTTCGCGGCTTCAGTGGAGCATTTTTCTCTGTATAGAAGGAAAAGACTGCCTTCTGCTAACTCCATAGAAAAATGGATAATATCAAGATGACTTTTTTGACAGACGTTAAATTTCTATTAACCCCACACTCTAATGTTACCAAGTTTGCCCAATTGGCACCTGAATCTAACTCCTGGAGTAGAACTGTTCACCCTCCTAAAACAGAAGACAAGCCATGCTGAGAAAGGATATATTTATCATTTCCTATCACCTAGAATGGCTAAACAGGGCTGTCTTCTTCAGGAGTCACTGAATACCTACCTGTTGCTGGAGAATACAAGCAGGAGTAAGCTACTGTCTTCTTCATTGCCTGGCTTCCCAAAGGCATCTACTAGGATATGTACTGAACAGAATCCGAGACTAAATGGCCTTTTGACTGATCCAGCAGAATTCTTTTTATGCTCTGTGACTCACCGTTCTAGAAGTTGGAGGGGCTGATGGGCTTGTGAGTGACACCATCTCCTGGATTGCCAGACGGAGCTTCAGGCGATGGAGAGGATTGCTGATTCCAATTTCTCTCTGGATTTCAGTATCTGACAGCGCAGACATAATGGCACCACTTTTCACATTTGCACGGCAAGCAGCAACGTACCATGCAGGCATGCCTAGCCACAGCTGTTGGGGATGGAGAATCAGTAGTTAACAGTGTTGTCAAAACTTGGCCACTTTAAGATGAGTGGACTTCAACTCCCAGAATTCCCCAG